CATGTTTAGATTACGTAGTTTTTGCAGTTCGGCGGGACTGTTCAGAACTACCTATTTAACCTATCACTTGGGTTTTGCCTCTTATTGCCGGCTATCCAGATGACTAGCTATTCTAGTACATTTTTTAAGTAACCACTTTCTAGATTACATAGTGATTGTAAGCAGAGAACAGTACCTGCTTTCGCTGCCAAAGGGAACACTTAAGTGACGACTGACTTCACTCTCGTTTACAAAGAGTACATTCGCAACGAAAGAAGAATCCTATCAAATGCGTGTTTTGATTACGTGGTTTTTTCATATAGTTGTATTACCAAGTATTTCGACGGGACAGTCCAGAACTACTTATTTAATGTTCCACCGGCTATCCAGATGGAAGGCAATTGTCACTCCATAGATTACACTCCACAGAAAAAAAGAGTCTATGAATGACAACATCTTCTTAAGTATATGGATACTTAATCCATTCTCTAGATTACTTGGTTACTGTAAACTGAGGACAGTCCCTCCCGCTCTCGCCACTAAAGGGAACACTGTCTTCACTCTTATTTACAATGAGTACATTCGCGACGAAATAGACGTTAGTGAAAATGACAGTCTTTTTCGGATGCTTTGACTCTTTGTAGAACTGCTGGGTAGTTTTGGATCAGTCCAAGTCCTCTGGGAAGTACTATTTACACGCGTGTGCGGAGTAGCGATTTTCGAAAAATACTTTTCCGGCACTGCCCATACACTTAAGAGAGTTGCTACAACAACTGTTTTTCAAATATATGAGTTGTAAGTAGTGTTCTAGTCCGTTAGACCGAAGGTCGTGGTTTCGATTCCCACCAGAAACACTGGTAAAGAAGCTCACATCAGGTCCAATGGAGGCTTAGGTTAATTCTTACGGATTTGATGTAACATACATCTTCCTTCCAAACTAAGTATCTAGCCAATCCCTTAAAATATGTAGTAACCTCAAACTATTGCAAACTGATCTTAACTTGGAATAGGTTAACCGATCTCCATATTAGATCCTCACTTCTTCTCCGAACATCTGATGATAAATTAGTTTTCTACTTGTAAGTATCTGCAACAGGATCCATCTATAGACCAATTATTGGTTTTGCTGATCATTTGATCTTCACAAAGAAAATGGAAGTTATAATTACTGGTTTCCAATGTGACATCCTTTTATAAGCGATATACAAATTATATCATCAATATGTCCATCAAAATGGATCTGATGAGACCAATTCCCTGAAATATGCAATGTTTACTATGAAAACATTTCTTGATCATTACATCTTCGTTATAAGACGTCGTACATACAGGCTTTTTGATTGACTGATCTCACATCCTTTCGGTTCTAGACTCTTGTTATGTTAATATTCTATGGAATGCTCGTGATTTAGAGGAAAAGAGAACCTTTCCTGTTTTTCTTGAAATAGTCTAGATCATGAACGAAACATGCCCCATGATTTCTCAACGGAGTCTAAAGCGTGTTCCTAAAGGGATCTTGTCAGCAATTGCAGATAACCAAACTTATATAATGTTGCAAGATTTTAAATGCTTCTCGACAACTACCGAAGATTCCGAAGTAAATAGTAATATTTAATATTGCTTTTTTACGTAAAAAAAACTCGACTTTCCGTACAATATAAAACACCCATCTGGTATCTGCGGTCTAAAATTAGTTTTTTATTTCTTGTCATCCACTCCAAATTTGTATTTTTAGCATAAACAAAATTATTGTTGTGTTTTTATTCTAATGTATGGGAATTTGCTTTGTTTTTTTAATTCTTATATACAAAACGTCTTTAATATTATTATTATTGCTGCTGCAAATCTTGATCATGTTAAAGATCTTTTAAAGGTTTCTTTTTTTTTCACATTTCAAATCAAGATTTCAGTTTGAGCCGTTTATTGTGATGTGAGAATTTTTTTTATTAAAAATATTTTGTATTTGAACAGCAACAACAAGAATTACAATAAAAACAACATAGGTACAAAGTTGTTCTGCATTTTTATATAAAATTGTGGTCTTTAATAGCAACAACAACAACGATAATAACAAGAGAATTCTTGTTGAAACGGAAGTAAAACAAACGACATTTAAACGAAATAAAACCAGAGTACGAGAACACAACGCATCTGATGAATATTGTTGTAGTGGTGGTTAAGACGGCTGCTGCTATTGCTTTTTTGTTGCTGTTATACCTCTAATAATTGTATTTTTACTGCTTTTATTGTTGTTGTTGCTATTGTTCTACTAATAATAAATTTTTATTTGAAATGGTGTTTGTAATTTTTAAAATGTCAGCAAACATGGCGCCTTTATGGGTTTTTTTTTCTTTTGCTGTTTTATATATTTTTTTCGAAATTGCAAAAAATATATTATAATGAATACAAAAAACTTTAAATGAGGAAAAAAAACGACAACAACGATAACTAACTACAAACTCTCTGTATAGACTTGCATGAAAGCATTCAAGGTCACTAACAAAACATTTGTACGTTTAGAAATACAAAGAAGTATGTACTAAACAGTACAGCAACAACAATGACGAGAGAAAAAAAAAACAACATATATTTATTATAAAAATAATTATAAATCACCAGACAGCAGCTACAAATGTACATACATATAGAAAGCGTTAACTACTACTTTAAAACAGGGAGATATGCAATGAAGAATACAGCAGCAATGATATTGACTCAATCCCTAAAAGTATCCGATAGGTCAGAAGTTACTGTTATAGTCTATCAGTAAGAAGGTCAAGAGTTCGATTCCCACCAGAAACACTGGTAAAGGATCACACAACAGGCCTGATAGAGGTCTAGGCATTTTTCTCTGGATTTGATCTAACAAATATTCTCCTTTCAAACAAACTAACGTAAAAGCATGAAATAACCTCAAATTATGGCAACGGATTTTCTGCTCTTGACATTAGCAAGGTTAACCGATCTCCATAATAGATCCTCACTTAGTTGTAGTTTCCGTCCTTTCTTCTCTAAACAACAGAATCTTATGGAATTTATTAGGAAGTCCTTGTTAATAAATGTATTTTCAACTTGTATCTACAACAGGATCTCTTTATTGTTCAATTATGGGTTTTGTTGGTCATTTGATCTTCATCAAGAGATTGGAAGTTATAATAACTGGTTTCCAGTCTGTAAGTCCAAACACCAAGATCTGATGGAACTTATTAAGAGGTCCTTGTTGATAGAGGCATTTTTAACTTTTATCTGCAACAGGATCTCTTTATTGTTCAATTTTGGGTTTTGCTGGTCATTTGATCTTCATCAAGAGATTGAAAGTTATAATAACTGATTTCGAGTTTGAAAGTCGGTTGTTTCTTCTCCATACAACAGGATCTGATGGATTAAGAAGTCCTTGTTGATGCATGTATTTTCAACTTCTATCTGCAACAGGATCGTTTTATAGATCAGTTAATGGTTTTACTGGTCATTTGATATTCATCAAGTCTGTCATTATTTTATAAGCGATGTACACATAATACCATCAGTACGGCTACAGAAAAAGTATCAGTTAAGAGATTGAGTTATATTGAGAGTCAATTCATTAGACAACATTTCTGCTGAAGAATTTGGCAATTATAACCAACAAGAAATTTTCCCCCCAAAATGGAACTCACTGAAGATCCTAATACATGCTTAGGGGGAGCACATTCCCCCTAAGCACACATGTAGAAAAACCCTGACCGACTATTGATTTTGTTGATCATTACATCTTCAATAAGAGAAGTTCTAGTATCAGGCTACTTGGCCGACTGATCTCACATCCGTTCGACTCTAGACTCGGCCATATCGGTTCGGTTCTATGGAAATCTCGTGATTTGAAGGAAATTCTGAAATGCATTGTTATCCCTTTGTTAATCATTACATCTTCATTGAGAGAAGTTCTAGTATCAAGCTACTTGGTTGACTGATCTCACATCCGTTCGATTCTAGACTCGGCCATATCGGTTCGGTTCTATGGAAAGCTCGTAATTTAGAGGAAATTTTCAGATGCATTGTTATCCCTTTGGTCCCCAGAAAGAACTATCTGTACTCACACCTTGAAGCTGCGTAAATCACGAACGAATGTATCCTAAGATATCTCAGTCTGCGCAGGCTGTAACACAAAATATGTTGTACCGATTCGTCTGCATCCTCTAATACCCATGTCTCAATTGCAGGACCTTTTACAATAAACGAATGTTTTTTATGTTCTTGGTGTTTAGCAATGACTTTGTCGTGAAGCATTGACATGAACAGGTCGACTTGACCTCCATTACAACATTATTTGAGCACTCCACCATACCGTAAGAGCACTTGTAGTTCTCCAGTTCTAAACAACTTTCCGTCCAAGATTTCTTTATGCACTGTCATAAGCATTCGTATCATTTTAACATTTTCTATCGCGACAATGAGAAACTTCTCCTCGTTGGTATCGCAGAGGATTAATCCTTGTATATCGTAATCTGACCGAATGTAAGCTCTCCTATCAAGGCAGTCTAACGATATCCCTTTATTTGGTTGCGGTAACTTCTCTGGCCACTGTCAGTCTGTTCAAAGAAAGAGAAAGTGCACATTATGTATGGAACACTAATGATCTTATCTCTTTATTCTGTCGGTCCAAGTTTACAAGATTTACATATATATAAAACATCAATAAAAATTTAACCCCTTTTGTAAAACTGTACCACTTATTATCTGTCACTTGGTGTATGCCACCACAAATGCATTCATTAATCTGTCTTGAAATAAAAAAACCACGACTGTTAAAAACATAAATGCAAAAAAAAATTTAATTACTTCACACAGTTCGAAAACAAAAAAAAAAGTTAGTTCTCGCCACCAATGACCACAATTGATAAATTTAAAAAGAACAAAAAAAACCCAACACTAAATAGTATTCATTATCAAGGAAGTAATTTTTCAAAAAATTATAACATAATAAAAATTCTATAAAATTTATAAATTTAATAAATATTCCAATAAAGTTATTTTCAACTCACCTTAAACTAAAACACTCGCCAGTCGGGCGTTACCCGTCCAGCAATCCATAAGATAATTATTTATCTTGGCCGTTGTTGCCGCTCGTCGTCCCCGTTACGTTTGCGCTAAGGCTGCTGCTTTTATTTGCTTTACTCTCACTTTTATCTTAAAATTTTCACTTACGTTTACGACACTTTTCAAACACGACTTACGTTTCGTCCGATTTTTACTTTACGCAACAATTTTTAAAAAACGCGCACAATTTAATTGATTTAAGTTAATAGAAAAAATTATAAAAAAAAACTTAGTTTGTAATTAGAAACGTTTGTTTTAGGGCCAAAAAAGTGTTTTTTTTTTTTGCAGAAAACGTAAAATATTTTATTAACACTTTTTTCTAACGATTTTTTCTAATGAATTGACTTTTGTTGGTTGTCTGGTCCATGAAAGATTTGTTTGTTTGATTTGTTGTTCGTATGTTGTTGTTTTTTTTTTTTGCAAGAAATCGAAGCCAAACAAATGTATTGATTTCCCTTTTGTGGTTATTTTACAGGTTTCCTTGTTCTTTTTTCCAAAAAGAAAATTTTGAATTTTGATAATAAAGTCCTGGAATGAAAGAGAAAACATATTTTAATTAGATTGTAATAACGATTTTACAGAACGATAATTGAAATTAATCAAGAAATAAGAAATAAATACCAGACTACAGACTATAGTCCAGATTAAAGATCAGACTATAGTCCAGACGAAAGACCAGACTATAGTCCAGGCAATAGATAAGACTATTGCTCCCTATTATAGACCAGACTATAGAACATACTATAGACTAGACTACAGACTAGACTATAGACTAGACTATATACTAGACTATAGACTAGACTATATACATAATAGACTATAGACTAGAATATAGACTAGACTATAGACTAGACAATAGACTAGACAATAGACTAGACAATAGACTAGACTATAGACTAGACTATAGACTAGACTATAGACTAGACTATAGACTAGACTATAGACTAGACTATAGACTAGACTATAGACTAGACTATAGACTAGACTACAGACTAGACTAGACTAGACTAGACTAGACTAGACTAGACTATAGACTAGACTATAGACTAGACTATAGACTAGACTATAGACTAGACTATAGACTAGACTATAGACTAGACTATAGACTAGACTATAGACTAGACTATAGACTAGACTATAGACTAGACTATAGACTAGACTATAGACTAGACTATAGACTAGACTATAGACTACTATACTAGACTATAGACTAGACTATAGACTAGACTATAGACTAGACTATAGACTAGACTATAGACTAGACTATAGACTAGACTATAGACTAGACTATAGACTAGACTATAGACTAGACTATAGACTAGACTATAGACTAGACTATAGACTAGACTAGACTATAGACTAGACTATAGACTAGACTATAGACTAGACTATAGACTAGACTATAGACTAGACTATAGACTAGACTATAGACTAGACTATAGACTAGACTATAGACTAGACTATAGACTAGACTATAGACTAGACTATAGACTAGACTATAGACTAGACTATAGACTAGACTATAGACTAGACTATAGACTAGACTATAGACTAGACTATAGACTAGACTATAGACTAGACTATATACTAGACTAGACTATAGACTAGACTATAGACTAGACTATAGACTAGACTATAGACTAGACTATAGACTAGACTATAGACTAGACTATAGACTAGACTATACGACTAGACTATAGACTAGACTATAGACTAGACTATAGACTAGACTATAGACTAGACTATAGACTAGACTATAGACTAGACTATAGACTAGACTATAGACTAGACTTTAGACTAGACTATAGACTAGACTATAGACTAGACTATAGACTAGACTATAGACTAGACTATAGACTAGACTATAGACTAGACTATAGACTAGACTTTAGACTAGACTATAGACTAGACTATAGACTAGACTATAGACTAGACTATAGACTAGACTATAGACTAGACTATAGACTAGACTATAGACTAGACTATAGACTAGACTATAGACTAGACTATAGACTAGACTATAGACTAGACTATAGACTAGACTATAGACTAGACGATAGACTAGACTATAGACTAGTATATCCAAGTATAAAAATATGTAAAATATACTCCAAACTATATTTAAATCAAACTAAAGTCCCAACTGAATACCAGACTATAGCTCAGGCTATAACCCAGACTATGGCTCAGACTATAGTCTAGGCTATAGCAAAGCTAAGATTATATTAGAGACAATCTAACATTTCGAAAGCTCTTTATAAAATCTTGATTCCGGAACTTTTTAAAATTCTAAACATTTAATTTGTTGTTTGCAAAGTCTTGGCCTCAACACCATCACTTTTCTGCGCCGCTAACCAACATTTTTGCAAACAAACCAGAAAAAAAAAACATAAAATCTATTTAGAATTTACAAAAAGTCACAAGATCAAACGCATTCCATTATTATGTTCACTCAAACTATAAAATATTTATTTAGTTTGTTTTTTTTTTCCTTCAACCTTTTTAGACATTTTATTTGCAGCGAACTGCAAAAAGTTGGATAGAAAAACCTCTTAGAAAAACTAGAAAAATTGTAAATGTTTAGTAACTAGTAAATATTTCTTACATGTAATGAGTCAAAGTCAGAGGTCACCGCGTGTCGAATTAAGTTTAACAAACAGACGAAAAAAAAAAACAACCTCTAACAAAAACGTTTGAAAGCTAAAAAGCGTACCAGTCAAGTCAGTCAAATCTAAAAGCGAAACGCTAGTCATGCCACCACAATCATACAACTTCATAGAATCGTAAAAAATTTTTTTTTTTGAAAAAAAGACAAGACCAGTTACTAAGATGGCAATAAAAAATTCAGTTATAATTGACTATTTAAAAAATTGGCAAAAAAAATTTAACAGCAGAAAGACAGACAGCCTGTTAAGTTAAACTTATACCAAATTATTGCTATTTAACGAAATTATGAGTTTTTTTTTTTGAATATTATTTTTAAATATATGATATTTTTGCTCATAAAATTAATAATTTTATTAAAAAGTATGTGTTGGGATTTTTTACAGATATTTGTCATATAAATTTTTAAGATTTGTTAGAATATTTTGTGTTTAATAAAATAATGAGAGATGTTTTTTTTTAAATAACGAGAATTTAACTAAAGTTTTTATAAAACTGATGATTTTGGCAAAGACACAATTGAACTCGAGAGTGATTTCTCGATTTCTTGACTGACTATTTTGATTGAAAAATTTTTAGCAATTTGGAAGTTTATTTGAAAGAGTTGTATTCGGAGCACATCCGAGAACCTTAAATCGTAAGTTTCCTAACCAAATCTAGACTCCACAGGGGACATGTCACCTCTTATATTAAATATAAGAAACTGTAAACAATAAGGGGCGTGGCACCTCCCATATGAATTAAATACAAAGATTCGTATAACTGGGAAACCGTTAGAGATGGAATCCTCAAATTTTGCATGAGCAACATTGAAATGTTACGATAGTGGGCACTGTACCTCCAATATTTATTTAATAATAAAGTAAATATAAAATTTTAAAAGGTTTGCTGCGAAGCACCCCGGGATAACTAGTGTTCAATATAGATGAACGATCTAAGGTTTCAATTTCACAAGAACTTAAAGCTTTAACACCAGCTTTATTAGGATAAATTAGAAAAACACCTTCACACTTTTGAAGGTGTTTTTGTTAGTTCTAATAAAATAAACTAATTATTAAATTTTCCCCCCAAAGAAAACAGCGGGAGATTTAACACATTTTCTGAATTAAAAGTTTTTACTTTTATTATTTCAAAGAAAACACATTCACTTTCCGCGCTAAAACAATGGAAAGACGGAGAAGGTGATAAGAGTTGTAGTAAAGAAAACTTTTAAAAACTTTTTGTAACTACAGACAAATATATGTTTTATTATCCTTTTCTAGTGAAACTGAAACCACAATGACGGAAGTTGGCAAAAGGAAAACAATGATTTTATTTTGAACACAAAAGACAAGAGAAAATTAGTAAAGCACGAGAAGCAAGTCATAATAAGACATCAAACTACCAGTTTAAAGTAAGAATTTACATTAAAAATCATTTCTAATCAAGAAAAATTGTTAATTTTTCAGAAATATAAAAGGGTTCTTTTAGTAAAAGCAATTCAAATTGCCCATTTTCTCCTACCCAAACAATTATGTATTGCAAGTAATAAAAACTATTTGAGCATGATAAATTCGTTATATAGTAAAACAAACGTAAATGAAAACAAAACATATTTTATTCATAAATACATTTATTAAGTGCGTACATGAAAAAGCAGTTAAACCCCAACAATAGACAGACAGACAGCCGCCAGACAATTTAACAAACAACATCAATGTTAACATAAACCCAAATAGATAGAAAGTTGGACAGACAGACAGATAAACTGACTAACTGCTAGACTTTTGTACAGACATTTTAGTTAAATAGAGTAAAAATAAGACAGTTCAATGTTAAAAAAAAGTATAATAAATATTTAAACAAACAAATAATCAGCTCAAAAACGCACCAGTTGCAAAAAAGCAAATAATTGTGGGTTTTACACTTACACTTAGAGAAAAATAAATATTATTTCTCAGTGTGAGAGTAATCAAAGAAATCAGTTGATTACTTGATTAACCAATACAGTATACTTCTTTTTTCACTTCTCTGGAAGCTATTTATAGTATACATCTTTTTTCACTTCTCTGGAAGCTATTTTAAGACAAGTAAAAATATTAATGTTTTGGCCATCTGTTAATCCCTTTAACAACAAAGAGATATCCAAAACCAATTTGGGATTGTCAGTTTAAAAAAACTTCGAATGAAGATTTTATATTGATCTTGATGTAGTGTAATTTTACATCCAGATTTAAAGCAGACTTATATCATTTTTGGGATTATGTTTGCTTTAGATTTAAAGCAATCCTAGATCCGAGTTTTAAACAATTTAAGATTTTGTATTACTCTTGATTCGAATAGTATATTAAAGGCAAACTAAGATCGTTTACGAATCGAAGATAATTTGTTGGTTTCAGATTTAAGACAATTGTAGATCTTTTATTGATCCCATATTTAGAGTAATTGCAGATCCTTTTAAATAAATTGTAGATCCTTTATTGATCCGGAATTTACCATAATGAAACAACCTTACTTGATTCCAGAATTAAAGGGATTTTATACAATTATTGATCATTCCTGATTTAAGGCACTTGTTATTGTAGATCTTTTATGGAGCCTAGTTTTAAACCAGTTGTACATCTACGATTTAGATCAATTGTTGATCGACGCTTGTTTGCAAGTTTTGAACAAACCAAGAACTTGTACTACTCTTGATTAAAATCGCTTATAATCGTAGATCCTTTATTGATCCGGAATTTAGCATAATGAAACAACCTTACTTGATTCCAGAATTAAAGGGATTTTATACAATTAGTGATTTAAGGCACTTGTTACTGTAGATCTGTTATGGACCCTAGTTTTAAACCAGTTGTACATTAACGATTTAGATCAATAGTTGATCG